TGTAATTACAGTGCATCGATGCAGCCTCACTGCTCATGTATAGGTGCCCAAAGTTCTAACTTTTGTAGCTGTGTTTTTGAAGTTGAAAAAGGGATGCCAAGAAGAAGGATTTTTTGCTGTTGTTGCAATAATCAGGTTGTTAGAGAACTATATAAATATTCAGATTTAGTATCATCTTGGAATGAAATTCACACAGCATACAAGGTCCATGTACCAATTAAGTTATATTTTGAACGTCTAAGTAATATGCAGTAGGTCTATGTGACTAGGCAGCTATTCAATCCGGCTTTGGATCTGGCCACTTTGGATGCCAGGGATCTGATCTGGAGCTCCAGACCGGGTTTCTGTTTTGATCTGGCCGAAGTGGCTTTTTTGTCTGATGTGGATGAAACTCGCAGTGATGGTAGCCTCTGCTGAGAGCATGAAGCCTGCCAAATTTCAAGAAGATCAGTGCAGGGGTTTGGGAGGAACTGTACCCCAAATTCTTGAAAGCAAAACTCATGTCACATCTATGTGTTACAGCATAGGGGGCTGAAAACTGCAGGGATGGTGTCCCCTGTTCAGGCCACAAAGCCTGCCAAGTTTCAAGGAGATAAGTGCAGGGGTTTGGGGGAAACTGCACCTCTAGCTGCAGACAAGCAAAACTCGTGACATGGATGACACTGTGTATGTTAAGGCACAGCAGGGTGAAAGCTGCATGGGTGGTGGCCCCTGCTGTGGTCACAAAGCCTGCCAGCTGTCAAGGAGATAGGTGCAGGGGGGTTCTGGGCTTTATAGGTGTTAATTGTTGCCAAATAACTGGTTACATTAGCTAGTAACTGTGTATTGAGCTAGTCTCTGAGTGAATCATGATTGATTGGTAACTGGTAACACAGTAGCTTAGCAGCAAGGCGGGCAGTAGTTCCCGCCCAAGACAGAGGCAATCAGTTGCACAAGTACCCATGTCACAAGTTTTGCCTGTCAGCAGCTAGGGGTGCATGGCCACATAACCCAGAACCCCTGCACCTATCTCCTCAACAGCTGGCAGGCTTTGTGGCCTCAGCAGGGGCTGCCATCCCTGCAGCTTTCACCCTGCTGCACCTCAACACACAGTATCACCCATGTCATGAGTTTTACTTGTCTGCAGCTTGAGGTGCAGTTTCCCCCAAACCCCTGCACTTATCTACTTGAAATTTGGCAGGCTTTGTGGCCTCAGCAGGGGCCACCACCCCTGCAGTTTTCAGCCTGCTGTGCCTTAACACACACAGTGTCACCCCTGTCACGAGTTTTGCCTGTCAGCAGCTTGAGGTGCAGTTCCCACTGAACCCCTCCACCAGTCTTCTTGAAACTTGGCAGGCTTCATGCTCTCAGCAGAGACTACCACCCCGACAAATTTCATCCAAATCAGACAAAAAACAACAAAGTTATAGATATTTCATTGATTCCCCATTATACCCTATGGCCGGATCTCCAAAACAGCTCCAAAGCTTTTCCAAAGCACTTCGGGAAGCCTAATGAAGCCAGCACTTTGATCCAGACATGCTGCTTCAGACGCTGAAGTGTTCAAAACTTCTCTGGATCTGAAGCAGGGTCCAAAGCCTCGCACAGCCCTAATATGCAAGCCTCTTTGCTCCCTGGGTTGTGTTTAAATGAAGAGCTGGAACCACATCCATGTCTAACAATATGTAGCTCCACTGAAGTCAGTAGAACCACACAGACCTATTCCAGCTGAGTATCTTCCTCACATGCTTTTTAAATGCAAAAGTGGGTTAATGCTTCTTACATCTAATACAAAAATAAACAAAATACAAATGCAAAATACAAAAATGCATCAGAAAGCCTACATAATTTTCATCTAAAGGTTCAAGAAGACAAAATAAAGTATCTTTACATGCACCACTATGCTTCAGTTCCTCATCGTTAAAATGCAGATGATTCTCCCTTTCTCTTCCATGTATTGTTTACCATGTGTATTTGGAGCAGGGGTGTCCAAACTTTTTGAACGTGGGGATGGATCATGAACTTTTTATCACCCAGTGTGCCGGCGAGCCATATTCAAAGACCTCACAGGAAGTGGTATCACATCAGGAAGTGATGTCACATGACCTTTGACACCAATGAAATTGCAGGAAGTGACAATGAAATGGATCTGGAAATGTGGTTTAAAATCCAAAATAAAAACAATATAAAAGCAAGAATGAAATAATACCAAACACTTGACTAAAATAAACACTTTCGCTTCTACTCACTTCTCAATGAATGAAAGAAGCATAATGCAAGTTGACAGATCAAATGTGGAAAAGATATCAGCCAGAGTGGAAACTAATCAAAGCAACAAAATATGGGCATTTTTGAGAATAATCTTCAAGAAGATTTACTTTTATTGAATTAATAACTAGTTATGACTAAAGGTTACATAATAAAACCCTGGTTTTAAATGTTGACCATAATTTAAATAGCAACATTAGAAGGGCTTGTCAGCCTCATCCAGTCTTAAAATAAATTGCCCTTTTCTACACAGAGATTGATGGCAACATGAAACTTGACCACTAGGGAAGCCCATCCAAAGATAAAAAATATTTATTCCATCAAAACTGAAGTGAAGTAGACAAGCTGTTTCCAAACAGTTACATTTCTATTAGTTCCAAGAAGATCTTTCTTTACTAACGAAGAAGAACAAACAATTAAAACTGTTTGAGCCATTTATCCAGCAGGGGAAGGGGTATGCATCCCTGTTCTGCCATTTTGACAAGTCCCTTGTTGGATCACTAAAACCCTCTTCCTAGGGTACAGGTACAGCTTCCAGCAGGTGAGGAGCTGTGCTGGGGCCAGGCAGCTGGAAACTGCATTCATATTGCTGCCACAGCAGGGTGAGAAAGGACAGTGAGGGTAGAGGTGAAGGTGGGGGTGGGAAAGAGTGGCAGCCATAAGAATGCAGCTTCCAGCAGCCCGGCCCTAGCATAGGTCCCCACCAGCTGAAGGCTGCAGCCATAGAGAGGCTAGGGAATGGGAAGAAGTAGCAGCAGCAACAAACGTGCAGGTAGAAGTTACTCAGCCCTAGTGCAACTCCTTACTGCTTAGCCCCAGCATATGCATACACACAATCATAGGCAAAAACCTCAGAATCTGCAGGCCAGATCCAGTGGCTCTACAGGCCGGATGCAGCCTGTGGGCTTAAGTTGCTGGCCCCTGCTTCAGCATATTTGAATAACAGAGCATCTGAGGGGCAACACTTGAGCAGGAAATTAGAACAACACAGATACAGCAAGAGAGGGCTGATAGCACTGTCCTCTCAAGTGAGCATTTGTGTGAGTTTGTATCCTTTCTGCACTTCACTTGAACCCATTGCTCCACCTGAACCACCAAGGAGGTGGCTGAACGTACAGCACCTCCGGGCCAGGCTCCTCCTGCCTCCTGCCCAGCCCGGCTCCGGCAACCGTGCACCCTGCAGCCCTGGCCCGGCCCCGAGGCGCCCCCAGCTCTGCGCGGGGCCTTACCCGGTGCCTCCATCCACCACACACATGGGCAGGGTGCAGGCCATGCTGCAACACCCCCAGCCACGTGCCAGGGGCAAGGGGTGGAGCCAGAGGAGAAGTCGCAGTTGCTGTCCCCAGCTCGTCCAGTCAGGAGTGGCTGGGGCAGCCCCACACAGCCCTCAGGGCAGTGGCAGCGGGACCCGGCTCACATGATGAGCTTGGCCCCGCAGGCTCAGCAGCTCCCCTCCGCTTGCTGCTGTCCGGGGCCCACGGGCTGGCCCTGGCTGCCTCACCTCGCTGCTGCCCTGCTGCCGCTGCCGCCTCCACCGTGAAGCATGGAGCAGGCGCCAGGACTCCTTGCCTGTCTTGAGCGAGGGACCTCGGGCCAGAGAAAATGGCTTGGCGGGCCGCATGGTGGCCCGCGAGCCATATATTGGACAAGCCTGATTTAGAGTGCAATTTATCTGGAAAAGAAACTAACCCTTTTCATACATTTGTGCAGTGCCTAGAATGAAGTGCCTTTTTCTTCACAAGAGCTGTTAGGGTAGAAATGGACACTTTCAAATGAAGTGGATCTGTTTTGCTGGGGTGTCTTGGTGCAGGTGATCTGCTTCACTGGGTGAAACACACACAACCTGCTGTCTCACAGTTTCAATGGGTGGAAGAATAGGTGATGTGTTCTCTCAGGCCTTGAAGGGCCCATCACTACAATCCCCAGGAATTCCTGGGCAGAATTGGGCCCCTCAAGCCTTGGAAGTGCCTGCCCAACTTTCCCTGCTTACCAAAACATGTTGCTGTATTCATTTTATGGCATCACATATGATCCAGTGAGTTGCAGCATCATTCTAAATCAGAAGAAAAATTCTACTTTCCATAACTAGAAGTTTCCAACCCAATAATGAACTAGAATCACAACATCAGCAATACAGTGCTCTATTCTGCAGTGGAAAATTCTAGATTGCTATCTAATTATGGTTCTGCAGGACAGAGGAACATGATGCGCACCGTGTATGGTTAGATGGTACCAGGGATAATTGCATTGTTTCAATGAAAGAATAGATCTTGGACTTGGTGCCAGGCTTGTACAAGTGGATTTGGTAAAGCAGATTTTGTGGAATCATAGTAATGACTTTTCCCACAGCTCTTATGGGCTCAACAGCTGAATTGCTTCGGGGTGCTACTGTGAATGCCATTGATGGTATATGGGTACAAGAGAGATGCCCATTGCCTTGAATCTTAGGAACAGACACTTCATTTTAGAAATTCAATGGTAAAGTGAATGTTACTCAATTTTGTACAATTGTGTACACATCCTTACATATATTGATCTATACAAAAAAGGTGAGGATACGATTATAGGGTTTTAGCATGGGGGGGAAAGGAGAGGCCCAAACTCCTATAGTCTATTGGATGCTTCATATTGAAGGGTCAGATATGAAATAGGGAATGTGGGGGAGGGGGTTGACCACAGCATCAGCAGAACAACAGTTACAATCTGGAAGTTACTACCTGATTTTTCTGAGTAACATTGATCTTTCATTTCAGGTTCACCATTTAAAGGGTGAGATGGCTGTCATTCATGATGTGCATGAAAAGAAGTAGACGTCTGATCTTCAGGAACAGCTGAAAACAAACAGCAGTGGTGAGATAAAAGCTGAAACAAGAAGCTCCAACCTTTTTCAAATGGAAACAACACAAAAGAGCAGGTTTGTTTGCTTCTGCACTTACCAGAGACTCTGGTATTTCCTGTATTGCCCATTTCAGGCATTCAGAAACTGAAACAAGTTTTCTGTTTCTCCAAAATATAAGACTGATGTAGAAAGAATGTATTTTTCCAGAAATAATACACTTTTAGATTCCTTTTTCTTCTTTTCCTTTGCTTGCCAGTTTCTGAGCCTTTAGGATGCAATCACTTGAGAATTTCAAGTTTTACTCAGCAACCAGACAGGCTAGAAACTTCCTGTTTTTCTTAAATGAAAGCTGAGATTCTTAAGCAATTCCAGGAGCTGGAATAAAATATGCAGGAAGTGTGATAAAATCACAAGACCTGGCAACACCGTGTATGTGTGCTCAATAACTAAGTTGGGCTCTATTGTGTGATTTATGACCCCTGAAAGTAAGACCTTTGAAATATTTTCTGCTGATTTTCTTTTTGGAACATTGATTTTTTCAAAGGTATCTGAGTGGGTAAGTGCTTATGACACAGAAGGTAAGTACTAAGCAGAATTGCTTAAACAGAGTGAAATTTATGGCTGAGTACAGGACAATACCAAGATCTAGCTATTATGTCAGGTTTATATTAGGCGTGTCTACATGCACTCTTATGTGTGACTAAACTTAATGTTCATTTGCCTAATGTGCCTTAAGTTGATTTTGGCACGCATCTACATGTGCATGTGCTAAGGCACATTAACGTGGTGTGGGAACTGACTTGGAATGAAAGTTAGTCCAAAGTCAGTCAACATACACAGCGTTAATGCACCTTAGTGCATCTACATGGGTGTTAAGGCGCTTTAGCTATTCGTGCCTAAATTTGATACAGTATAACCTCATAAATCCGGATATAAACAATTGGGAATTATGAAAAACCCAGCACTTGGATAAAACTACACTCCATCAGGGAGTAGCAGTGCCCAGTCCCAGAGCAGTGGAGGGGGAAGCTTGCACGCACCGGCTCCTGCCACCATCTGCCATCCCATGCCGCCGCTCTGCATGTAGCTGCTGCTCTGGGACCAGCTGCTGTTATCCCTGCCCATCCCTCCCTCCCCCCAACCCCCAGCTCTGGGACTGGCCACCATTTAGGTCCAAAAATCCAGGATTTTCACATTTCTGGCAGGTGCTTGGTCCCGAGCATGCCAGATTCATTAGGTTATAGTGTACATTCTTTTGCAGGTATCATATTTAGGCATGAATAGCCTAAAATCACCATTTTTGAGGAACATAAAGGGCACACATGTGTAGACCCACGCCATTAATGCCCCTTAAATGGGCATGTGTAGACACGCCCACTGAGGATGTAAACAGTGCATAAGCAACTCTGAGGCAGAATTCATCCAGATGTTTCTATGAAATATCAACATTATTTACATATTAAAGAGGTAACTTCTTTATGATGTCATTGATATTTTACTATAAGAGCTGAACTTTATCTCAAATCAGTGGTGATGTGTAGGGAGTGCACAGGGGTGTACCCCCTGAGAGCACTGGTATAGCCCCTGAGTGGCTATGTTCAACGCTTACGTGAGGGGCAGGGGGGCAGGCAGAAGCACCAGTGTCCCCCTGCAAGCACCGGCTGGCGAGTGGAGCACCATTATGCTCCCAGAAGTGGCCGCAGCGATCGGCCAGAGCACAATTGACCACAGGGGATCCTCCCCAGGTCAGCGGGATTGGATGCGAGGGGACCCCCCAGGTCGCTGACTGGTCGCTGACTGGTCACTGAGGGAGCACAGGCTCCCTCTGACTAAGGCGGCACCTGTTGCCCATGTCTCAAATGCACGTGCAGTGTTCACCTAAGAACTTGGAGTTGTACATATGTTTTAAAGGCAGAATTTGCTTCTTAGATGGTCAAAATGGGATCCTCAAATAGTACTGCCAGTCTAAGGCATTCAAAAATCATAATTCAGACTTCCAAAGTTATTAGATTTACTAAAGAAAAATCACACTGTTTTTACTTGATTCTAGGATGAGGTGTTCCCCTCCTCCCCCCCATTTAACATGGGGGCAAAAGTCCCTTGTCTTAGAATCAAGTACAAAGGTGGTGGGGGAGCAGGCAGCTGCTGTAGCCTGGACTCTAATCCCTACCCCAGGATCAGAGCCGTAAGCACAGCTGCTGTATGTCCCCCCCCCCGCCCATCCCTGCCACCTCTTCACCTTGCTATGACCCTCCTTCAGCATCTTCTCCTCATTCTCCCTCCACCATGCAGCTTTGACTCCCTCTCTTGCCCCTCTCCTTCCCCCACTTACCCTTGCTCCATGCTGGCAGGATCCACGCATGCTGCAGCCTGAGATACTGAGCACAGCTCCAGCCCAGTCCTCTAGCAGTGGCATGCAGCCCTTACAGCTACTATGGGTATGATATGGGGCTGTGCTCCATGACCCAGGCAAGAATAGGGACAGAATCTGCCAACATAGAGCAGAGGCTGGGGGGAGGAGGAAACAGGAGCAGGGGGAAAGGGGATAAATTAAACATGATGTTCCAATAATTAGATTGTATACATGGAAAACTATTACAAATTTATACATTTTCCATGTATAGAATTATTATTAGAGGGTCATCTTAAATTTGGGGTCATCTTAGGTTCGAGTAAATGTGGTAATTAAAATAGATTTTTTTTCTCCTGGTTTCTGGTTAATTAGATTAATTCATTCCACATTTTTAAGCTTTTCTCTGCAACCATTATAGCTTGGAAATTCCTTTAAAAGTTATAGTTTCAGTTTCATAGTTGGTAGGGTCTGAAGGGACCCGAGCAGATCATCAAGTCTGACCCCTGAGAGTGTTGTTCAGTCTTCAAGTGCCAGTAGTAAGGATTTTAAGAACAAGACTACATTTCATAAGATATTATTTAAGAGTCTGCATTCATCATATGGCTGATGGAAAAGTAAGTGAAGCTGTTGCAGCAGTAGCTGAAAGTAATAAGGCAGAAACCAGGGCAACTTGCCACCTTAGAGACTAACTCATTCAGAGAATCATAATCTTTCATAGGTGACACCTTAATTCATGAGATGCTATCAGATGCTGTCACTTGTGAAAGTATGTCCTTCTCTGAATGAGTTAGTCTGTAAGGTGCCACCCCGCCATGCTTTCTGTCTGACTTCAGAGTGACACAGCTAAGTACTAGGGCTGTGTGAAGCTTCAGTCCCTAATTCGATTCAGAGGAGATTTGGCCTGATTTGGTGGCTGAATCTTTGAATATGAATTGAATCAGGAGACCCTTTAATCTCTCCAAATCGAATCAGAACCCTCCAAATTGATTCAGAGAGATTTGGAAAGATTCAGCGATTCAGACATAGACACAAATTTAAATGTTTTTTCTACATACCTCAGGGTACCGGAGGGCTTGTGAATGCTGTGATGCAAGGGCACATGAAGTGTCCCAAGGAGTGCAGGGGGCTCCCCAGTGTGTTCGGCAGCAGACCCAAAAATGGACCAGAAGCATTTCTGGTCTGCTCCTGGGTATGCTGGGGAGTGTGTTGGGGGGATCCCTGGTGCCCCAGCTTGGTGACTGGTGCCTCCTGGGCCTGGCGGGGGGGCACCTGGGGTTCCCCTTCAGCTGATCATTGAGCTGGAAGGGGTGGGGGAGGCGCTCCCTGGCAGACCTGGAAGTGGATTAGAAGTATTGGTTTGCTGCTGAGCATGCAGGGGCCCCCCTGTGCTCCTGTGGGATGCTCCATTCACCCCAGCATTGCAGCATTCATGAGCCGCATGGTATGTAGAAAAAACATTTAAAGCTGTGTCTATGGCCAAATCACTGATTCTCCAAACTGGCACTGAATCTTCAGATTCAGACTCAGCTGAATTGAATCAGGTACAGTGATCTGAATCAATGAATTGAACTACTGTCCCTGATTTGGGCTGAATCCAAATCTGAATTTCACACACCCCTACTAAATACCACTCTCCTCTGCAAGATATTGTTCACCTGACCCAGATCAGCCACCATTTGACCATAAAGGAAGAATCCAACAATTTATTAGACAGTCTAATATTCATTTTACTAAAACGCAGAGCAACGTAAATGTTTTGGGGGGGGGGGGGGGGTTTTTTTAGGCAG